CCTTCAATGGTGAGTCAATCATAAAATGGTTATTGTGATATATTGATAATGAAATTTAGTTAGTGGATGGATTATAATTTCTTTAATTTCCTAAAATTTTGAAAATTAAACGTATTAATATGCAAACACAGTTTTTTTTGTTAAACATGGGAACGCTTATGCATGAGTTGATCATTTGTTTTATTTTATGCTCAGATCGGATCATTTGTGGATGTAATGATTGTTTTGGTGCAATTATTTAATTGGCATGATCTAAAGTGTTAACCATACAAACTTAACAAATATTTAAATTTAAATATTCTTAGGAATTATTGCAGTCTTTCTATAGATGAGATTCCATATATTTGCAATATTAAATTCAAATTTAGATATCATAGGATAGATATGAATATGTTGCCAATACTGATAACAAAGATTTTATTGGATTGTCTAACACTAATAATTTAGGTAAAGCCATAAAACTATCTACAATATTTTCTCTCTATAATCTAAACATTTTGCTATTTTAAACTATTTCGATATTTAGTATTATAAATATATTGCTATTTTTATATTTTTTGGAAAATATCATGAATATATAATCTAGCAAATATTATGAATGACGGGTATGTATGTCAAAATATAGATTTGAAATCCTACCCCAAAAAAAAATAATATAGATTTCAAATTTTATTTACATGAGGCTGCAACACTGGTTACATCCCCATTTCAATATACCGGAGTAAAAGCGGATTACGAATATTAGTGTTCAACTTATTATTGATATTGGGCTAAAAATGGTAATATTGGACGAATCAAGCATATATACCCAAGATCATATGTACACCTACCAAATTTCCTATTTGAAAATGAAGGTAAATAAATATTTTAATATTTTACAAAATGCTACAGTTATAAATTTTAATTTAGTTTATGTTACCTACAAGTATATCATCCCGTACTGTATTTTAAAAAAATACGGCAACCACGTATACTCCGTATATTTATTTGTTTATGTCCATTAACACTCAATTTTTCAATTTTGAAACAAGATACAATATATTATATATATTTAAAATTTACCGACTAAACCATATATATAAGTGAACACCATCTCATATATTAATACTATTAGAAAAAAACAACAATATCTTATAAAACTTGATTATTTTAAATTATTATTTACCACATATTTTATACCGTGCGGTAGCACGGGTTATCCTCTAGTTTAGAATAGAGTTTAAGCATAATGCATCATACGTACGTACACATCAAAATACTAGAACTAAATTATGTAATTATAAAGTGAGTAAGAAGATATGATTTAATTTGACGGAGATAGAGATATATGTCAGTTCTCTAATGAAAGTAGCTAGTGATATATTTGACTTACCTAAATGTATCACTATATTATATGATCGTTATCCGAATCTATAGTGCAATCTCAAAGATTTAGGGTATCTGTCACTCAATAGTTTTCGTGCTAACAACCATTATATATATTTGATATGATGCTACTTTTCTATATTTTGTCTTATCCTATCTCTCATTTCGATCGATGATTTATCATTTTATCAAATGACAATGATCAATGGGATAGTCAAACTCAAAGATTGGTCTTTGCTTTATTTATATCGTTTTCTCTGGTTATTTTCTTATTTTGTTTTGGAGTGTGGAAAATATATTTAATTGTGGACCGGAGAAAACAAAAACTCTAGGAAAAAAAAATGGAGAAGTTCTATACAAGTTGATTGGATCCAAGATGGGTAATGATATATATCCAATGAAGACTTTTTTTTGTTTTTTGGTAGAACAACGTCGAAGACTCATTTTAAATTACATGATCCTAAGAGATGTGCGTTGTATATATTGTTAAAGATTTCTAGGAATTTTCGAGCAAAGGTACTACTGTATTTTGCACGTGTGTATTGGGAAGTTTAGGTCATCTTACTAGATGACATAGATTTGCTAAATTGTATACGTCGTATTGGGTCATATCATACTCAAAGAAACCACCAATAATTCTAAACTTTTTTTCCTTGTCTTGTCTTTTTTATATTTTTCTTTTAAATATACTTTTAATCTTTAAAATTGAATTCAATCATTTTCTGTTTTCTTAACATTTCAAATCATCGGCCGGAATTTAAATCATACCCTGATATATACTCC